GATGTGTCACCAAAGAGATCATTTAGCTTAAGAGGTCGCGATGAGCTGTGACTCAGCTATTAGGTAGTTCGGTTAGGCAACATACGGTGGGCGGTGCGGAACCGCCATGTGTATGTAGGTCAAGTTTTTGTCTACCGAAAAGTTTCCTGTTACTTAGGGAAATAATACTATTTCATGACGGTTTCCAATTACGCTCTTGGTTGTGTAGCGGTAACTCTGATATTCGTAGGTTTAATCCCCATACAGTAAAATTTGTATTCATAAGTATCTATGTTTGTTTGTATTCTATATATATATATATATATATAAACATACATACAAATATACAACTATGACACACATAAAACTCGAAATAAGGAGGACTAACTAGGTTTTTAAAAAAGGGGAAAGATTGAGGACGCCGTATATAGGTAGGGAGTGAATCCCACAAACGAACTGCTTGCACGCAAAAGGATTTGGTGTAGAGAGAGGAAGAATGAGTAGGAATTTTGAGTTGGAGGTTGTCAGTATAGTTGTTTTATATATATATATATATATATATATATATATATATATATATATATATATATATATATATATATATATATATATATATATATATATATATATATATATATATATATATATATATATATATATATATATATATATATATGAACACTAAACTGTATTCATACACTCAAAGTGTTTAAATTTTCATATAGCTACTGATTATTGCAAATTGTAATACGAATAACGGCCTTAATGTTATATATAGTAAGAACTAACTCGTTACAGTTTCTTAACTGAATAACAAACGCATAACTGATATTAATATGTATCAATTTAATATGAATTATTTACAAGCGGCACGCTTGGGGCGATTGGGAAAATGTTGCGATATGCGAATACCACTGAAATGTTCACTGTATAATATATATATATTCAATATGTATATATTTATATATATATATATATATATATATATATATATATATATATATATATATATATATATATATATATATATATATATAATAAATGTAATTGAAAAACGTAAATGATAATAAATAAAATCAATTTACAATATTAAAAAAAATACTATATCAGTATTTATATGTAAACAAATGAGACGACAGAAAATCTACCTATATTTCAAAATAAAAACAAATAAGTACAATAATCTTATTCTCCTATTTATCATTCAAATTGCATTTATTAGCACACATTCCTTATAATATTTTTTTTTATTTAATTTTTAATCAAATCAATAAATATTATCATAATAATTTCACAATCATAATAATTATGTTATATATATGGTAAATATAGCAATTATTTTTTTATTACTTTTTAGTTATTTATAGAGATGGGTGTGTGTGTTTGTGTGGTGTGTGTTTTGGGTGTTTAAACCCCATAAACACCCAAATTTTTGGGTGTTTATGATTTTGTACTTCATCATCGTCATATACTATATATATATATATATATATATAAGAAAGAGATGAAAGTAAAATGTAAAACTACAGTCAATCACTGTCAGATTCAGAGTTATTACAAGCGATGAATTGTATAGGTTCGATAGGCTCTATTTCGTCTAAACTGTTATGTTCATTTACTTAATAAATAATGAATGTCCTCGCATTCAGCTTTATGTTTAAGATTCCAGTTATAACAAATGAATGAAATTTTTTCAGTTCTTTCAGTTGTAAGTCGATTTCTTTTGTTATTATGTATGTAGCCTTGGATACTAAAGGAACGCTCAGTGGCTGCCGAAGTACATGATATATATATCAGTGGAACCACAAATACCTTTATATATATACAAATCCTCTGGCCCAAAATAGCTTTATAACACGCCAAATCTATTACATTTGACAAATAAGTGTTGGCTTAAATATATATATAATAGTATATAGATAGAATATATGCAAAATGTATATTGCCATATATCTTGAAGATATGATGTTATATCAATGTCGAAATCTCATTTAATGCAAAACGTATCTTAGCTTGTATAAATGTATGTATGCGATGCAAACGATTCTGGTCGCTCTCTAAGTAAAATATGCTTTCAGTGACTGGTTCCAAAATACTTATACATTCCCCTGTCTTCGTCCAGAAATCATCACTTAGAATTAAATCTTTAATATCTCTTGAAATTACCACATCTTCTCTAACTGTTAATATTTGCAAAGCTATCTTATTTGCTTTCAAACTTTTTAACGAAGTAACATGACTTCCCCATCTTGTAGCACAAGGCAATTTTAGTGTTTGTGTAGAATCTTCACCCTGCCTTGATTTTATCAACAAGGAACTTAATCGTTGACTCCTTTTAACAGTTTTTATTATATTTATGGCTTGCATAATAAACACAGTTACTTCTTGTATCTTTACAATATCTTGGCACAACAAGTTAAGGATATGTGCACAGCAACCGAGAGGAACAACATGTGGATATTTGAGTTTTGTTAATTCGAATGCCTTTTGTATATTTCTAGCGTTATCGCCAATAAGTACAAGAAACTTATTTGCTCCATACACTTTCATTACTTTTTCAACTTCTTGGCTAAGGTATTCATAGTGTGAGGATTACTTTCTGTATTCAAACTTTTAACGTATATAGGTTTTGATATAAGTTTATTATTCCTTCATATTATATAAGTATACAAGCATTTAGTTCCTATAATCAAAACGCATTTCTATATATATTTTATCTAATTATTTTGTCGCTAAAGCTTTACGTGAAGGTATTTTAAATTTTGGTTGCAATTTTTCGAAAAATTGTATCCATAAAGGATGTTGCACCATCGATAATGGCGTCCCTGTTACAAATATAGCTCTCGCTAATTCTGTTTTTATATGATCATCGGTGTGAAACTCAGCATTTATTGTAGTGTTAGCAGACGACGAGGGGCTTATAAAAGAATCATATATACAGTCCAGACATTTTGGTTTTGGACGAGCTATCTTTTATAAGTTTCATAGAGTCTTTTAATGGATATTTTGGACAAGTGATATATATATATATATATATATATATATATTGAACCTAAAAAAATGAACGATGATTAGTTGGTCTGTAGAGTGCCTATTTTTTTGTGTGTGTGTGTGTGTATTGTGTGTGTGTGTGTGTGTGACGACTCTCAGCTAACTATGCACTATCATCCAAAATAAACGTGTATGGAAAATTTTATCCCAGTCGGTTGAGGATTGAGGATAATTTCATCAACATACGAACATACCTACATATATATATATATATATATATATATATATATATATATATATACTTACCTTTAATTATTTCTTGTTAAGTATAAATATTATTTCAAATCTGCTCCCTTAATATGCACTTTTTTACTGCTTTTCCTACCTAACACGTTACCAGGAAGTCACGTTACCAGAGTCAGAGTAATAGTGAACACGTTTGAAAGTGATTGTCGTCGCCTCATATTCAGCGTCGACGAATAGGGGAATCCCCAGTCATAATGTATTGCATGCGTGGCGGTCTTACTTCAAATCCATAAACAAAGAGATAATTACAGAACTCGATACTAGATGGCGCTGTTTTTGTTTGAAGAAAGTTTGCGGGCTAAAATACATAGAATTTCATCAATGACTTCCACAAAGAACAACATTTCTGTTTTTTCTAAGTCCGTATCTCTTCCGTATATTTCATAAGATATAAGCTTGGGCTACATTGTTATGCAACGTGATTTTGTCGCTGTCTTGCTAGCAGGGTTGACAGATATACGATTTAAATCGTACTCATACTATTATTTGTCTATTTTTTAATGTACGATCGTAAAGATTATGATCGTAATTCGCACAAAAACATACGACTTTTTGGTTACCTGGCAACATTTTTATTATGAAACGAACATGCTCACATCATCAGTCACATGCAACAATTTATTGGGGTTTTCCCCTTCACATCTGGCAGTCCTGCTTGCTAGAATATAGGTAAGTCAGCCACAGTTACTGACGATCGATATTTAAAGGGTATTGTTTTTGTGCTAAATATTTCATAAAAACGTTATTTAATACTTTGTGGATTATTAATTTAGTTGATAATTGGAAGTAAAATGGATGCTAATTTGAGAGATCAAGATCTTCGTATAAAACAGTTAATAAAAGAAAATATTATCTTTTTATACCTATATATAATAAACACAAAAGGTACTTAGATCGCGTGTGTTCGAAGCATTTATTCTAATAAATTTAATTTAAAATAGAAAGAAAAAAATATAGCCGAAGCCGATCTCCAAATATATTTGGCGATAGTGAGACCCAGTGTCCAGATGATTTACCCTGCGTCTTCGCAACAACTAAAAAAAACGAGGAGAAAGTAAAAGAAAATTTACTGAAAGAAGAAACAAACTGTTCTAAATGCTTAATTTATGGAGAAGAGGATAAAAGAAATGAGTATTTCGGACTGTTAGTGGCTCAAGAATTTAAATATATACGGCCATGTGTGCGACCGAGGTGTTATGAAGAAATTTTAAAGTATCTACGGGACGCAAAAGGCCAACATGTTGATCAACTGCAACATGAAAACACTGAAAATTAATTACTTTCATTTTATTATATATAGATTTTTAAAATTTCCTGAAATATTATTAGTTAACGTTTTATTTAATATTGTAGAATTGATCAATACAATTTATAAAAATAATTTATTGGTATTACTTAAATATTTTCAAAAAAATACGTAAAAACCTATTTTTTTGGGTGATTATGGGAGTTTATGGGTGTTTATTGGGTTTTTACCAAAGCACCGGGTTTAAACCCGGTGCTTTGCCCATCTGTAGTTATTTATAATAATATTTTTTTTTAATAAAAGTAACCATGACCCAAAAATAAAACAATATCAATTTATACTAAATATGAACTATTAAATTATTAAATTAAATTGTTTCTTTTTATTTATGATAATTATTTTTTTTAATTACTTCACGTTTTAATTTATTTTTATTTAAAATAATATTTTAGCACAATTTCTTTTTCACTTCACTTACCTAATGATATCGTAGCAAAACCGAATGCAGCTGTGTATTATCAAATCCGAAACAACATTATAGTTATTGTCACTGGAGGTCACTATCCTTTACCGGCACGGAGGAGCAATCTGGGATTCAATGGTTGAGGCGATAGTTTGGGGGTAGACTAGAAAAAAAGATAGATTCGCTAGATATAGAAAGGGACTATTCGAACATTGACATATTTTTATATATATAAGAAAAGTAGAGCAAAGATTTATAGGAATCTTAGTCAATGATAAATATTTAATTTAGTTTTAACGTTAGTCACGATGAATATAATTAAGGAATTCTAATTATAATAAATAATTTATGCACGTATTTGATTTTTTCTAGTAAAATAATTTACATATTTTTTTATTAATTAAGTATCATGCCATCTCAAATTGGAATAAATTAATTTAGGCCAATTATCATGTGCAGTAATTAGGCCAATTTTTATAAAAAAAATGTATACTTTTTAAATTACTAATCTTGAAAATTTAAAGAAATTATTAAGTAATGAAAAAAATAATTACTAAATTAATTTAAATTATTTTTATATAAAATAAAACGTACTAAATTATTATGATATAATTATGTAGAAAAAAAAAGCATTTAAAACAACAATCGGTGTCGCGTCGAACGGGCGCTCCGTTAAAACTGTAAAAAAACTCGTCGAGCGACCTTCGGGTTATCATCCGAAAAGCGACCGCACTACGCCCGTGTCGCGCCGCCGCCCGGCCGTTGCGGGGAAAAACGACACACTTTTCCGATTGGGCCCATAAAAAATATCGGTACTACCGGTTCTTTTTATCCGAATAAAAATAATCTAGCGCTCTACATAGACGGTCATGCGGTTAGTAAACAGTCACAGTTATTGGCGACAACAATAGAGAGTAAAAAGGAAAAAAAAAAACAGGAAAAGATGTGATTGGCATAAATAAAAGATTAATTACGAAATATTCTTTCGAATATTTACAACAAGGAGGGTAGAAAAAATAATATTGAAAAAAAAACAAAATATAAAAAGTAAAGAAAAAAAAAACTGCTGTCCGAAACGCTCATCCACTGGTGTCCGCACAATCCGGCACTGTCACGTCACTATACGAATGCCAATTACAAACATTTCCCAAAACACCACTATTGTCCCGATTTTCACGGAAAGGGGAGAAATTTTGAAAATGGAACAACGGCGTGTTTTGTTTTTTTTTTCCTTTTTTTTTTTTGCAACGTACACTGTTATTTAGTTTCAGCGTCACTGATCTCGTTTATGCGGGGTAGAGTATGTTTCAGGGTTCGCACACTACACTGCACTCACTGCGTCCGATGCGGGCGCGGGCCGCGCGTACCAACGACTGACTGTTGCGCGGGCGCACCCCACTTACTTCCCACCAAAAATTTTCTACCACCACGCGCCGCGGCCAGGGCGGCCGTAGCGCGGCCCGCTACAGCGCCGACAAGTGTACCGTAGCTGTTAATTCTCATAGTTCTATATGGTTGTTTCCCTTATTTACAATAATATATTCATATCAGACAATACGTTTTATTTTTATTTATTTTTTATTATATAAAAACCAACAGCTAGACTATTCCATAATAATAATAATAAATAACAGTAAAGACATGTATAAAAACAAGATTTAACTTATGTACATGACATCGCTAATACTTACAATCAACTAAATTAAACTTGGAGTAACAACGTTATTGTAATACAAACATTATAGGTAGGCAGTTATGTAAAATAAAAAAGTTGATACCACAAGTTCAAAAATGAACTATCAAAGAAGCAACGATTCAGCACACGTCTTGCAGATTCTGTATTAAAATTAAATAAGTCTAAATCGAGATCTCTAAATGTTTCATTATAACGATAATTTTATTAAAAAATTTAATAAAATTATCGTTAAAATAAATTATCAAAATCAGTAAATCAAATAATTTAGTAATTAATTCCAAATGCAAACTAAACTAGAAAAAAATCGTTCCTAAATTGGACCGACCGAGAATCGAATCCAGGACCGCATTTATGAAAAGCAATGTACTCACAACTGCACCACGGAGGTCGTGAAATATTTCTATTTTCATAAATAATATCTTTCACAAATATGGATATAAAATTTTTATATTGTTTAAATAAATAGTTTTAATTTATTTATAAAATATTCTGAATTACATATATTTAATAGTGTTACAAAAATCAGGTCTCAACACCACCGAACAGTATGTTGACCATATTTAATATATATATAAAAGTTAGCGACGCATTTCACTTAAAGTTGAGCAGCACTGGCGTAGCTATCTCCATTGCGTACACGCACACATTCAGAAACACGCGCTTCACGCCCACATCGAAGTACCCGTAGGCCTAGAGACCTACAAATTTGACTTTCTCCCACTATCCACTTTAAAGCTTTCATTTTAAGTCACATATTTGCATGCGCGCGGTTGGTCTCCGTTTAGTCAGTCAGGTGGTAAGTGGGTCAGCCAATGATTTTCTTTATTGTCCCTCCGCTGGCCCTCAGAAGGCCTCCGTTTAGGGCTTTACACATAAATTTAAGGTTAACTCTCTGCTCATTAACGAGTCGTCCAAGTTCATGTTAAAAGCTATAAGTAACAATACTAGTTTGTGTCCGCGTCTTCGTCTATGTAATGTAGGACAGTGGAGGCACTCATTTTGCATTAAAAAGACAGCGCTTAAAACCTGCACGTCCTGAATTCCGAACTCGATTGAGACACATTCAACCGGCTATGTTATTGGGTCGTCGCTGTTTTTTTTTTTACAACACAAGAGGCAAACAAGCATGCGGTTCACCTGATGGTAAGTGACTACCGCCGCCCATAATCACCCACAACACCAAGGACGTTGCTGTGCTGCCGGCCTTTTAAAAAGGAATATGCTCTTTTCTTGAAGGTTACGATGTCGTATCGGTTCGGAAATTCGGCTGCTGGAAGTTGATTCCAAAGAGTGGTTGTGCGTGTAACAAAGTGCCTTGAAAAACGCACGGTGGAGGACCGCCACTCGTCCAGATGGTTGGGATGAAATTTTAGTTTATGGCGGGTTGTACGATGGTGAAAATCAGCAGCAGGTATCAATCCGAACAGTTCTTTTTAGTTCTTCTTCTTGCCTTCTGAGTTTTTCTCAGTTGGGGCTGGAAGTACTCTCAAAAACGAATAGTAGGGTAAAAAAATTAAGATATAAAGTTAGAAAAATAGACGGAAAGAGTAGAAAAATAATGAAGTATGACGTAACCTTCGTTCCAATAATACTCTCCAATTATCTTTCCCCTCTCACCGTACTGGTTACGCTTCAAACTCTTTTCTCCTACATTCTTCACGACTCTGGAACGCGCTTTCTGATGCCATTAGGAGACTACCGACTAAACCGTCTTTCAAAAAAAGCATTCACGCTCACTTTTTATCTTTATCCGAGCAGTAAGTGCTTTATATTATTCCCAAATTCGTGTATAATATAGTATATATCATATATGTGTAAGTATATTTGTTATTCATATATATTTATTCGTTTATATATGTAATTTTAGTATGTATGTATATCAATAATTACTAGTGCCGCATTCGAGTATTCTGACACTTCCCTATGGTTGACTGGGAGAGAATGCTTTTAGCATTAAGTCCGCCATGTACACATATTTGTACTAATGAATAAATAAATAAATAAATAAAAATATAAAATAAGAAAATAAAATACGCAATACGACGCAAACGCATTGTTACGCTGTTGGGTAGGGTGCGTGTTAGCTCAAACAGTGTCCTGAAGACAATTGCAGGTAAAATGGACTGTCCCATCCTAAAATATTGGTCGGGACAGGTTATCAATGCAAGAGCGTCACGACCGCTCATTTACTAACATAAGGTTAAGTCAATTTATAACTAACAAAATGGACCTTATGTAGTCTGATTAAATAAATATTATTATTGTGTCAAATAATAAAATGAAACGGCAGTTACTTGAATATATTATAAAACTAGCTGTTTCCCGCGGCACTTTCCGCGTGACTTGGTATATAAAATATCCTATGAATTAAAATATTATATATAACCTACCTTCATAAAGTTTCAACCAATTCAACTGATCGGTTATTTTATAGCATTTTATATGTGATTCTTTAGATTGATATAACTTTTTCATTTATAAACCAATTAAAATAAAATAAACACTAAATGTTAAGTGGAGCAGACTGTAACGCGTTAGTGAAAACCGCATTCAAATCGGTTAAGCCGTTTCTTAAATTACCGTGCACAAGCATAAAAACAGACAAAAATTCTAAAAACCATTGTTTTCTGCTCTATTACGTTCATAAAGCCCTTATAATAGTTTTTTTTTATATATATCTTCCATGTACAAACAGCGACCAGATACGACTTTATTATATGTATTAATATATTGGTCAATTTAAAATAGTAACTTTTTTATTGTACTGTGTTACTAATAGATGTTTTTCGATGAGTCATTCTATTGCCGTTATAGCTAATCAGCATTTTTTTTTAATGGATGATAATGGAATGGTCAATTTAAAATAGTAACAGTTAGCCCATCGTGACGAATTTTTATTGAGTTAATACTGATGTTACTAATAGTCGAACTCCCTACTATTATATTTTGAGGACAGAATGAGTAATTTTTTTTATAGCCTACTATTGCCGTTATAGCTAATGTCCTAGCATTTGAACTGCCCACGTGTGGTTAAACATATTTAAACTTTAAACTTTGAATTCAAATTCAAAGCATCTTTATTCAAACATACTTGTTTTTTAAGTACTTTTAAGTCGTCATTTTTTTAATCTACTGCAGGATTCGAAATGTTGTTATCTGTTGTGAAAAGCCCGCAAGAAACTCAACAGTTACTCTTTTTTTTATATAACTAGAATGGCAAACAAGCTGACGGCCCACCTGATGGAAAGTGGTAACCGTCGCCTATAGACATGAGCAGTACCATGGACATAACAGAGTATACTGTTTCGCCCATGATACCCCCATGCGTTGCCATTCCTGAGGACTTAGGTGTTATTCCTCTGTACCCTGTAAATTCACGCCATATCCCACCCTTCAAACTGAAACACAACCATGCAAACACAACTGCTTCACGGTAGAAACACGAATGCGACAGAGGTACCCCAAGCAATCGACTTTTGTACAAAGTCTCCCTCTGGTAAAAAAATTCCTTTGGTAAAAAGGTTCCTCTTCTAAATCTATGTTAACATTATGTGTATTTATTTAAATGTACTATGTATAAAATTACGTGGTCGTTTAAAGCCCGTGCATGATCGACTAACACCATGCACGTTTGTCATTCAAATAATCGTTTGGTTTATTAACGGTGTTCATTATTGCCAGAGTTTAATCGGAATAAATCGACGTTTTGGGAGAGCAATGCACACTTTTCTCTATTATTAGAACATAGATTATGGTTACCATTCACCATCAGTCAAGCTTTGTACTTGCTGCATACAATAGAAGCCATTATGATATATGAAAAATTGACCTACATCCAATTTAGCGTGTAATTTTTTTTTTTATTTTATTGACTGTTTTATAGCATGGGTTTTGAAGTCACTGCGTTTCTCTGTTAGTCGAGGTTTTTGTTAGTGGATGATAATGGAATGGTAACCCTGGCTGTGTTAACTGCTGCAATGCTGGCGGGGCACCAGTGAAGGCACCGGTTGGCCCACCGTGACGAATATACCTAACACGATGGTTTCCAGGACAAACCGCGTGGAGATTGAACAGAGGGAGACTTTGTACAAATGTCGTTTGTTTGGGTACCTCTGTCCAATTCGTGTTTCTACCGTGAAGCAGTTGTATTTGCATGGCTGTGTTTCGGTTTGAAGGGTGGGATATGGCGTGAATTTACAGGGTACAGAGGAATAACACCTAAGTCCTCAGGAATGGCAACGCATGGGGGGTATCATGGGCGAAACAGTATACTCTGTCCATGGTATTACTCATGTTGTACGGCTACCATTTTCCATCAGGTGGGCCGTCAGCTTGTTTGCCATTCTATTATATATTGCATAAAAAAAACCAGATAAGGTATGTACTGGTAGTTCGCATTACTAACAATCCTACCCCTCCCCCTCCCTTTTAGTCGAGGTTATAATCTACTAAGCTAGATTGTTTTGTTCGTTTGTGTATCTCAGGAAAATTAATTCTGTCGGTCACACGTCTCGTCATCAGGGCTAAAATATTGCTGTAAACTATGTATTATAAGTTTGACAAAGTCCTATAGCTCAGTCCTACACGGATATACATGGAGATAGATGTAGCAGGTACCTTATTTTTTATTTATTTATTCATTAGTACATATATGTGTACATGGCGGACATGATGCTAAAAGCATTCTCTCCCAGCCAACCATAGGGAGTGTCAGATCATGTCAGAATACTCGAATGCGGATCTAGAATACCTTTATAACCATTTAACGTCTCTGCTGGATACGGAACTTGTAAACGGAGGTATACTATTATATACAATACCAAGTAAACTCAGATTAAAACACTAACTCTTCTATATGTTCTCCATTAACCAAAGCATGTCTGTAAGAGATTGCCCTAGTGATAAGACCGCCTTTTGTAACTTTAATCTACCTATTTTAATCTGTACTTCATGCTACAGTATTTTTTTTAGTGGGTGATTTTTTTAAACAACTTAGAATCGAACAAGCTAACCGGCGGGGCACCAGTGAAGGAAAATGGTGAAGACGAAGCAGGTCGTTAGCCCATCGTGACGAATTCAACAAGAATTGTTCACGAATGGTACTGCTCATCATGGTTGGGTATATTGCTA